TTGGGCATGTCTAATTATAATTTAACTAGAACCAAGGAACTGGTAAAAGAAAGAGATCTGGTGCAAGTATCACCAAAGTAAACAAAGTATTTTGACCAAAATTAATTTTAAAAGGGGAGTGTGAACCAAGCTCTTAGTTTGCAGAGCTATAACTGGAGTAACATGGATAATCCCAGAAAAAGAGTCCCTGTTCACAAGTTTAAATGGCAACTCCAACGCTTGTGTATAGAACCTTCAAGATGGTTGTCATTTGGGCACAGCATACACAGGTAGCGAAAGGATACTGACTTTCTTTATAACCCTACAAATGCCAAATGGGATGCAACGGCTCTGTTTTGATACTGGAAACAACACCTTGCTCTCAGTCATAGGCTATAGTCCTATGAATTTGTGACCTTTTAGTGATCCTTTCATTAACAGGCTGCACAGCTCTTGTAAATTCAAGGCTATGGTGTCCTTTATTAAGCCAATTCATTCATATTTGATCTTCCTCTTTTTCTGCTGCCTTCAGTTTTTCTTGCATTATTGTCTTGTCCAGTGAGTTTTGTCTTCTCATGATGTGTCCAAAATATTATACCCTTGGTCTAGTCATTTAGAGAGTTCAGGCTTGATTTGATCTGGTTTATTATGTGCTGTCAAGTTAGAAATGATTTATAGTGATTCTAGCAGGGCTCTCAAGTAAATTAGATATTTAAGGAGTGGTTATAGCAGTGCCAAACTCAGCCAGTTTCCATGGCTGCAGGAGTATTCAAGCACAGATCTGCTGAGTCCTAGTCCGTCATTCTATCTAGTACTCCACACCGAGTGTCTGATCTAGTATGTATATGTACTGTATGTATGTATTTTGCCTTGGTCTTCAGTGATGCTTACTTACACTTCACAATTTTTATAAGTTCCTTCATAGCTGTCCATTCAAGTTTCAGTTTTCTGAATGGCTGTGATCTCCATTTGGACTAATGATTGTGCCTTGGTACAAAAACTCTTTGGCAATTTTGATTTTTTGTTGTCAACATTAAAGTTAAATACTTCTTCAAACAGATAGTGTTCCTTAATAACAAAATAATACACCAAACTGGAGCCTGGTTTTACTATGCTATTTAGGAACATTAGGAAGATGCTATTGTTTGCCTTTCGTTGATATAAAACACATGAACACCTGTTAAATGTGCCCATAGGCAATACTTAATGGGTATCAATTGCAATTTTAATTAGCAATTTATTGTCTACCATCACAGTCTGTAGCTATTAACTATGACTTTCTAGAAGTGGAAGAGGGCAAATTATGTATTCATTAACCAAAAAGTCAAAAGAGTTGTTCTTATAATTTTATACAAAATTGTAAATAATTCTGTAATTCTGTAACTTTAATCCATCTTGTTTGGTTTGCTGTGAGAACTCTGAGGTATGGAGCTCCTACACTACAATTTTCATAAATTGCTCCCACATACATCCAAACATAGGTTGTACACCTAAGGAAATTCTGTTATTTAACAAAACAGATCCAAGCACAGGAACAGAGCCTAATTGAGACTTCAGAACAGAATTTCCCAAAACATGTGCTTTTTGAATGCCAAGAGAAATACATTAAACAAGTGTGAGTTCAATGTTTGACTAACAATGAGCACTGCCTGATGCATTTTTCATGGTTCTCTTTTCTGGCCTTGTCTCCAACTTGGCCCCATGAAAGGAGCAGCTAGAAGGGGCTCTGATTCCTATGAAGAACCCTTGGCTCCAACAACTATGGAACTAGGAAAAGAGATGAAAATCCACTGTAGTCTGGCCTCAGGCACACATGACAAGGGCCAGTGCAACATGACATTGCTTGCCTGTTAGGAAGAATATTAACCTAAGATGAAGACCAACAAGGCAACATCCACTGGACAGAGAAGGAACATGTCCGTCTATTGTTCACTTTCCCACCTTCTGGGTCAGGAAGAAAATTTGGATCCAACTACCTTCAGATTGCTAAACCATTAAACAATATGCTCTGGACCCATCTGTGAGCCAGAGGACAAAGGACTGGTGTGTGTGTGTGTCCAGTGATTATATTATTTGTAGCTTTTCAACCATCATTTATCAAAAGGCAGAGCATATGAACAGAACATATATCCTGAAAACAAAAGAGTCTCTGCCAGGGCAAATAATTCTAGCATATCTCTAAGTCTAGAGCAGGTGTGACTGGGCCATTTCACCACTCCTAATGAACAAATGTAATAGCATTACTTGACTATAATAAAAGGTTTCCTTTCACATTTCAGTGACTGCTTTGATGTTAGCCTGCCTCTGCTGTAGGTAGCAGACTGAACTCCTCTTAGTCTGTAAAAATAAACTGTTGATGTACAAGAAGGCCAAAGGGTTGCTCCAGTTTCAGTTCAGGAGAAAGGTAGATAGTGTCAAAAGAGAAGAACAACTGAAATTGAGAGACACATCTTTTTTTTTCTGTAGGATTTCAGGGAATACTTTCATATTGCATAATGACTTGAAGTGTTCATGTCTGTTTAAGAAGCATTGCCTGGAATGGGATTCAGAATGTTTTTGTCATCCTTTTCCCTGTCAGATGGACCAAAGAGAACAATGTCTGAAACGTCCTCATTCTAAATCAGATTGCTTTGTGCTAATTGACATCAGTGAACACCAAAGCTGACTCACTGGGGATACAGACTGAAATTGAAAGAAACCTGAAGCATTTTCAAAACAAAAGAAAGGCTGAATCAGTAGTAGGCCATAGGTGCAAAAGAGATGCAAAAAATGGTAATATTTAATATGGAAAGGGGGTTTTCGGAGTGGTGAAAGTATTGCAGTACACCTTCCAGACTACTTTCCCCCTAAAAACTACACAACCTTAAGGGAGAAAAGGTCAATTGGCTATCTTATGGATTGGACTAGAGCCAAGATCTGTCATTAGTGATGCTAGTACAGTAAATAAAACCAAAGAGGCTGGAAATGATTAATTCATAGAAGATCATACATAATGTTCAGTGGCTTTCACAGCTATCCAAATCTCATGCAGCGGCCCTTCACTCTTGAGCCCTGCATGGATTCCAGTTTGAAGTTACATTTCCAACATCTCAGGTAAAAATATAAATGTTCATTTCCTGAACTCTTATGGGTCTTCCCTTGAGGACTCTCCCTCCTGAGCTGAGATAAAACCTTCCTCAAAATCCCCATTTTCATCATCTGACCCAGTTGCCATTACACAAGGCACCTGCTCAGTTTTCTTTCCCCTAGTCAAAGGCATTTTTCTTCCCTCAGGCTTCTGATCCAACTTACAAGCCTCGATTTAAAAAGTACACTTTTTTCTTCTGTCAGTGAGTGTCTGTGTTATAAAGTTGCTACTTTCCCAGCACTGGTAATCTCGCTACAGTGTCTAGGCCTCTGGCTCCCAGCTAGGCCTCCCACCACAGACCGAACTTCTCTCTCTGCCTCAGGCAACAAAATCACTCAAGCCCACAGCTTCACCCTGTCCCAGGTTTAGCTGTCTTGAGTCCCCTCAGCCTATCTGCCCTTAGCCCCGCTTTTGTCCCCTCAGAGTTCTCCCTTGAACTCAGGACAAGCTAGCCAAACCACCACAGATTTCTGCTTTGGGCCACTCACTTCCCAGAAGCCTCCCTATCTTAGTCCCCAATCTGAGCTTCAGCACCCTCCTCCTAGACTTTCTCCCCATGAGATAAGTCCTAGGAGGTTACCCACACATCCACTCAGACTTCCCTGACTAAAATACCCTGCTCTGGGCACCTTTCCAGTATAAGGCTTTACTGGATTTCTCGTATCCCACCGCTGCCACCAATTTATATGTAGCGGGCCACTCTCAAGCCTTTACCCATCCAGGCCTCAAAGAGTGTTCACTACCTTTCACCAAAACTGATGCCACCAACCTATACTTAAAATCAAAAGGACAAGTGTTTCTTTCAAACAAATAAAAATGTTTATTGATTACACAAAAATAAAAAGGGTAAATCACTGGTATTAAATCAATTAGTCAATCACTGTTTCTCAGACACTAGCTCACACAGACTTTTCCCTCACTGACAGGCTCTTACTCACTCACGGGGTCTATCGATCTCGGGCAGCTCTCATCTCTCAAACTGATCTGATCTCCTCTCACACATCACACACACCTTATATAACCCAGCTCCTCCCACTTCTGCACCACCCTCCGTCCTCTCATTGGCTGAGGTTCCCCTGCCCAGCTGTGACGGACAAGTGAGAGCAGAGCTGAATGCCACAGTATATAACACTGATAAATTTTCCAAAGATGAGTAATAGTTATGACTTTCATATCCCTGTAATTATGCATCTGTAAACAAAACAATGAGAGTGCCTAATTAAATAAAAGCAGCCAGATCTACGAGGCAGAATTTCTATTACTATTCATTTAAGAATATGAGATTCAAGCAATTATCATTAAGTTGTAATATTTAAGTGTTCATGCCTGACAAGGAGCTAAGTATTTATCTTTGGATGCTAGGTGAGTAAATACTAACTTTTGTATGGAACACTATCCAAAGTCTTCTTTCCTTATTTCTTTTCTTTTCTTGATATCACTTTATAGTTTTCAGGGCTATGCCAGAAGAGCTTAATCAGATGCAAATCATAACAGCCCCAATGGCAAGCATGCACAGTCTCATGGAAAATTGCTTTGAACAAACAGGCCAATTAGAAAGAAATTCAACCGCAGGCATCTTTAAATAGAAAGGTCTTTTTGTATAAATGCCTGCATAGAAGCAGTGAGGTGCACATTAATGGAAAGGGAGACCCATCCTGCTGGGGCCATAATAAAAAAGTTCCTATCTCTTGTGTTTGCCAATCAAATAGATTTTAATGGTGGACAATTAAGGAGGACCCTGATATCTGATTTTAGCTTACAAGCCTGCTCCCAAGCTGTTTTGTGCTTTAAGGGTTTTGACCAATACTTGCAATGCAATCACTCAAAAAAGGATATTCCCCAGACTCCAGTTTCATTTTAAGCACTAATAAGAGAAATGGAAGACACATCATACCTGTATTCTTCCTGGGTGAACCGTGGAATTACTGAGGGTTGCAATACTGAAATTTCTACAGTAGTGGTGTTGAATTTCACAGGGTCACCATCATCATAGGCAATAACCATGAGCTGTTGAGCACACAAAAAAGGACTCAGTCTGCATGTCATCCTAATTTTTTTCCAGGTATAAATGCTACTTTTTTGATAATCTTAAATAGCATCTATTCTTATTTGATGGTAAATGTAGTACTGAACTAAGAGATTCATGACTCTGAAAATGCCACATTGAAACAAATAATATATGACATCAAAATGTATTCAAAAGTGCAATTCTAAATCTAAGTTCCATAAATATTCCAAACAACAATTGAAGATTAAAGTATATCACATTTTAAAAAATGGAGACAATTTGAATTAGTGATGTATAGAATTCCCAGGACAAGTTTCCTGCAGAAATGAAATCCTTTTTAATTCTCTCAAAATTCTTCAAATAACTTTTCTCAACATGAACCTCCAGCCTATTCATGACATTTAATTTTGGTGAAACAGGTATAAATTCAGAACAATGTCTACACTTCACCGTACATACAAGACTATTAAGATATTAGCAGCCCAGCAAATTTTGATGGACATTGCAGATCTTCTGTCTCCCATGATGCAAACCGGTAAGTTTTCTGAACAGGGGAGTTACTTATAAAGAAAATTTCAAATTCGGCACTTCTCCAGCACAGAATCTGTTGTATTCTTTTTCCAAGAATGGCATTCAATGTTATATTTGGGTGATTAGGAATCTAGTTATTTGAATAATTAAGTAAACAATCAAATAATTGTCAGATCTTGAGATTTATTTATTTATTTATTTGCATCAAAGCAGACTTTTGCTTCCAGGATGTTGGACGCAGTTTTCACTGCCTTGCCCTTTCTTGTGAAGTCTCTTCTGTTTTCTGAAAAATCTGCTCTGAAGGGCATAAAATAATGAGAAGGGCTGATCTACTTGCCTTTGGCTGGTAAGATCATCTATAGATTTCCATTAATGGAAAGATCCCAGTTAGCAGGGGCAGCCCAAGCCTTTCCACTCTGTGCAACAGGAAAGAAGCCCCCAGTGTTCTCCAACATATAGCAACACAACCATATCACTGATTCATTAGCCATCGGATTCCGAAGGGGCAGAGGAACTCGAAACCAAATTGCTAACATGCGCTAGATTATGGAGAAAGCCAGAGAGTTCCAGAAAAATATCTACTTCTGCTTCATTGACTACGGAAAAGCCTTTGACTGTGTGGACCACAGCAAACTATGGCAAGTCCTTAAAGAAATGGGAGTGCCTGACCACCTTGTCTATCTCCTGAGAAACCTATATGTGGGACAGGAAGCCACAGTTAGAACTGGATATGGAACAACTGATTGGTTCAAAATTGGGAAAGGAATACGACAAGGCTGTATATTGTCCCCCGGCTTATTTAACATATGCAGAATACATCATGCGGAAGGCTGGACTGGAGGAATCCCAAACCGGAATTAAGATTGCCGGAAGAAATATCAACAATCTCAGATATGCAGATGATACCACTCTGATGGCAGAAAGTGAGGAGGAATTAAAGAACCTTGTAATGAGGGTGAAAGAGGAGAGTGCAAAAAACGGCCTGAAAGTCAACATGAAAAAAACTAAGATAATGGCCACTGGTCCCATCACCTCCTGGCAAATAGAAGGGGAAGATATGGAGGCAGTGACAGATTTTACTTTCTTGGGCTCCATGATCACTGTAGATGGAGACAGCAGCCACGAAATTAAAAGACGCCTGCTTCTTGGGAGGAAAGCGATGACAAACCTTGACAGCATCTTAAAAA